TCCCGCATAATATTAGCCATAAAATGCCTTCTACTTTCAATGGAGTAACTTTTTCTCGATACTTTTGTTTGTGTGATTTGTTCCATCTAGCTCGTAAAGGAATGGTCGCACTAATATACATAATGGCTTGCCCATATGTGAAAAGTACTTATAGCTTCGCTCGTCAGTGTTCTCGTGCCTTTTCTTTTAAAATATATGAAGGAAGAATTTATCATGAGAGCTGATATTTATACGTTCAGTACTTTGCTGTCGGATGGAGTGTCAATTTTATTGGCTTAAGTACGCACCGAAAAAACTGCAAGCTAGTACTAATTATTATTTTGCTTCATGCGTTGGTTGTAAATAAAGAGGGAATTTGAAAGCAATAGTGAGGTAAGGGTTGCAATGATTAGAAATTTTGAGTCGTTTTAAACGTTTTTTTGGTGCGCACACGACTGGAGCATGAAATCTAATATCATCCACTCAAACTAAAAAAATTGATGGTGAGCATTGTGCAGCAGGGGTAATTTGAGAAATATGATCTGCAAAACCGAAGTAATAGGATGCTTTAGGCAGAGCTTCGCTTTCCCAAACCCATGCCTCACCATTTAAACGCTATGGCAATATTCCTTCCTTACCTGTTTCTTCACAGGTGCTTTGAGCTCTAAAGCTTTCTAGTGATAGTTTAGCTTGGATCATTCGAAGATTAGTGATTCGGAATTAATCTTTATTCTCAGGCAATGCTGAAATTAAGCTCCCCAGATTACATTGATTAGATGTGGGACTGTATAGTTTCAAAGGATTCGGATAGCTTGATTAAGTATTATAGAGAATTGAAGCATTTCTAGTGGGTCAAACTATGTCTTTATATTTCCTAATGGTCTCGCACTTCTACAGGTGCTTTTAGCCACCTTTAAGGTGGTGTATTTTGGATTGGAAAAGAAGTATATACGCAACCAAACGGTAAGATAAAAATCGTGGAATCACGGGGAAATCCGCTTTTTTTAAATGGACTCGCATCATAAAACCAAGTTAAACACTTATCTGATACTCTCTGATAAAATGCTACTTAAATAATAATTTAAGTATAAGCGTCCTAATATAATTTCTTTAGATAGGCGCTGGTGACCCATTCTGTTAGGTCCCATCTGACAGGTCTCGGTCCTACGCCCTGTAATTTCTGTGATTTCTCCCAGCAGCTTTATGAAAATCCATTCCTGGTCTGATGTTGATCGAATTACTAAGTAGCGGTGGATTGATATACTCAAAGCCCGTCCAAAAGTATTCGAAAATAAGTGCAATACTTAATTTGGTTTCGATTCCGTATATTAGGTTAGGTAAACTTGTTTAGACAGTGGAAGTGGACAAGTGGCTGGAACAAGGTAGAACGCGTTGCGACAAGGGGATGAGCGCGTGATGTAAAAGACGTGCCGCGTCGGACATATGCGAGTGTGCATGCTTGTACGGACAAGCCAGAAAACGAAGGCTAAGGTGGACATTAACGAGGAGGCAGGGGAGGAGGTGAATCATTCAAATGTTAGCTGACGTTGGTGCCTAAACAGCAATAAGATGAGCAATTCCTGTTTAAGCGTGCAGCAGACAGAATTAAGGGAACAGAAGCATTTACTTGCTACCAGCCCTTCAGCACAAACTTCACTGCTTTTCTCGCATCACCTACGCCCCTCACTAAATCTTTATACCCAATACAGCTCAAAAAATTGTATGTAATGGATGCCTCCCCTCCTACATTCTCAATAAAGGCAAGATTGTTATGAGAAATTGCTGGAACTAAATGTCACCTATAAAAGAGCAGTGATACGACCACTATATTAAGTTGATAACAGCAATATGGCTGGTTAACTGCAGTATGGTTTGCAAAAAACCGAGCTGTTGTGTTATTTTCAATGATGTAGCTTCAAGGCAGGTCATCAAATAGAATGAATTATACAACTCCCCTGTGAGATTATTCAAGTTTCCATTTTAGTATCGATTCAAGTAGTGGATAGTTCTTCCCAAACTTTTCTTAGTTCCGTCCCTTCTTACTTCGATAATAATTTGTCGTTGTTGTAACATTTAAAGATTCGGGACTCTGAACATGCTGCCAACGACTATCAGAGCGCATTACTCTACTCGTCATTTTTGAATGGAATACAAACGCAAATGTGGATTTAAGTAAGAACTCTAAAACATTCTTCATCTACTATCAGGCCTAAACCGACATCTCATTTAAAAAGAAAGGCTCGCTGATGCAGTCTAGTTATTTGGCTAAGCAGCTAAAATTCGCCTTACTATAGTCGCATCAAGTGCTGAAAATTGATCTACTTGGCGTGTTGATGCACAGTAATCAGAAGCAGGGGTTAAGCAATAATATCTTGTGATCCACTAAGTGCTGACTATTGTCTGCAGTCGAACGTGTCGTAACTTTTCCCTGACATTGTTACATTTATTCCAGGTGAATATTTGACATCGCTGACCTCCATATCTTTGCTCCGAGAGTCGTTAACAGCTCTTCTTGGGCATCCTTTTTATGGCTAGAACTGTGATAGCAGAACTGAGTGTCACAATAGGAAGGTAGTAATTTTGCCGCTTAAGTAGTTATGACTACTTGTTATCTATCATGGTGAGTTGCATTGCAGAGAACTGTTTGTTAGGCTCTGTTTTGGATTGAATGTTGGTTTGTAGCCTGAGGCGACTTAAAATTGGATAAGGTCTTAATTGATAGAATCCATGAGGATTTATCACAGTTTTTATGAGCAGAGACCAGGCCACTGTTTTCATGATTACGAACCGCCAAGACGAGTCGAACGCTCAGATAATAAAACAAGTATTTTGTGTCACAATACCGCAGAGACAGATTTATGCTTGCGGCCCTGGACTGGAGGTAACTGCCTTGCGGACTTGGAGCTAAATCAAAATGAAGCTCTCTGCTTACATAGACTGTCCTCAATTCTGACCACACACCACCTCTGCATCCGACCTCAAATTCCTATTTTTATCAACAAGCACCATAAACAGAACCCGTAATTACAAAACGTTCTAACTATCCCCAATATCTTTGGAAGCTCTAGCTAATAAATCAGCTTCATTGTCCATGCAAACCAAACCTGGGAGACGATACATCTGCAGTCCATGACAGACGTTCAGAATGATAAGGTGAAGTTGATTTAAAGAGCAGAAGGCCAGCGTAAGGGCCTTAGGTTGATCTGATGCTAGTAAGCAGCCCCAAGTTACCAACTTTGTGACAGTAATCAGCTCCCGACACATGCACCTCATGTGGGCGACCTTACTCTGAGGTACTGCGCCCGACGCTGGCTAACACTTCGCTTATTCATTTCAAATGCAATGCTGAATGGATACACAAAATAAGGAGCATGATGAGGATTCTTGCGGTACCCAGATCGGAAAGGCTTAATCCTAAACTCAAAAGTGTCACATAAATAATAAAGGATGTTTAGTTTAACTTGAATCAGTCAAAATCCAATCTGTTAATACGCAAAATGTCTTTATAAAGCAGATCACTGCAGCTACATCCCACCAAAGAAAGCCAGGAATCTGCTGGTTCATGTTATGTAGGCATGCACGCGTTTGACCCGGCTCCATAATCTCTAATCTCTTCATTGAGGTCAGGTCATACAGTAATCTGTCCTGTGTTGCAGTACTATCGAGACATTTGTTTTCAACGTGGCGTCTGCTAGCCGTAAAATCAACTCTCAGGTTCAATCACTACCGTATAAGGACTAATACGGTGGCAAATCACACCTTGGCTATTGCCAGTATCGTACACCAACTCCCAAACTTGAATGAGGTGAACTATATGTCTTTGTCTCCCAATTCGGTGATGCTTTTTAGTTCGCAGTCATACTGGCGAGAAGTTGACAGTTGCATTGTGATTAAACATCAGAGTAGTAAAGCACGGGATGTGATCATGCCATCACGAATCTCATTCATTTTTGTTTTATACTTTTCAGCTGTCAAATGCCCAATTTTCTAGTCAATAAATGAATTTCGATTGACTTAACAAGGTTGCGAGAGCAGACCTATGGGAACTCATTTTCATTATGCCTTTTGGTTAAATGGTTTCCTGAAGGTGGCGTATTAATTTATCCTGCCAGCATACTTACATAAAAAACTTAACCATAATATATGTCTATGGTCACACTTCACACTTTTACCACCAGTCATGGGTGCTTATTTTAATTTGAAGAATCCTTTATTGCTAGTAATGTCTTACACATCCTGGCACCAAAATGATAATTGCACTTTTGGGTTCGCCGTTGAGCTTGAGGCAACTATAGAGACAACTTTAAGTTTCGAGACCCTTTTCAAAACGCACATTACTACATCTAAACGTAAAGAAGGCGAATTAGTAAGGTCCAGTCTTATTTGTGGAACTCCAACTGTAGGTGATAACCACACTGCCGCACCTTACAAGTAACCTTCTAACCAGGGGAGGATGTAAGTACGCACAAAGCTTGTTTTGCATCAAAGAGCTTTTGGATGGGATGTTCAGTTGGAATTGCAGTTTAGTCATGAACACAATGCTCGACTTAGAATGAAGCTGTGTAGCTGCCTAAGTTCATCCCTATGCTCTGTGTAATATGAAGTATCTAAGACTTTCCGACTCAGTCTGTGATTTACTCCAACATATTCATCTACGTTTGAAAGTTAATGCGATATTTTCTCCAGGTGAAGTGATACGACAAATTATCGCTTTAAAAAGGAATTGGGTTTATTAAACCGGAAGCAATAAGACTATGCAACTTTTAAGAAGGAAACACATCACCTCAGTACCCCTTAAACAGCAAACTAATCGAACGGTGGAAGACGTCACAATCAATTTAAACGTTCATTTCGAAAGTTATTCGGACCCGCCTAAGTCCAAAGAGCTGAATAAGCAATTAAAAGCAAGACGCTAGGTTATAAAAGACCTCGTCCTAGTCAATTTTTTATAAGTTATTACCAATCGAAAGGATATTGTGGTCGCGTGAACGTGGTTTCGCATCCACCAATCCCGCGCGCAATTACATCCTCCCTTGTTCAGTCGCGTACCCATCTGTTCGACTCTGACGTTCACTGGCTCTACTATCCAACCAATCACCTCCTTCGCCTCGTCGATCGTTCAGACATTCCGGCCTGAAGGCAACGGACTGGTCTCCAGCCGCATCGCCTTGATTTGTGCTTGCAGTCTGCCAGAGACAAGCCTCCGCCCCACAGCAGGACCGCATGGGATTCACGCAAGATCTAGAATCACCACCTTTACATGAGGGAAGTCACACCAGTGTGCCCCTAGTTTCCTCATGGCAAATCGCAAGGACAAAGTCACAGTTAGCAATTTGTAAAACAGAGAAAGAAAACATAAGAGCAAGCTTACCAACGCAGATGC